TAATAAAATAATCTATAAACTATATAAAAATATTAAAAAAATATAAAATATAATATAAAGCTAAAAATAAATATATACTAATATAGAAAAAAAACTAAATTCTATTATATACAGTATGTTAAATTTTATTAACAAATTAGCAAGTAACAAATATTCATATGCCAAAATTTTTGATAAAACATTGTATAAGTAACTGTTTGAATCTGGATAAAATTGAATCTAGATAAATACATATACATATATGTATATATAAATTCAAACATTATTTCTTTAATTGAATAATTAATTGTATATGCTATAGATACACATTAGCATATGTATTATATCAATCTTGTATAATAAATGCAACTAAAAAACTTAGATCTTAGTAATGAATCTATTATACCTATTATGTAAATGCATTTATAGAATTATCACAATATAGCTAGAACTTCAGAACCTCTTGCATATACAAAACATAAAGAATGTGCATTTAGTTTTAAGTTCCAAGCTTGGAACCAGGTTAAAGTATGCATTTAAAGAGGATATGCATTTATAAAGGATGCATCTAGAAAGGTTTAACTGTATTATTATTTTTTAAAATTTATTATTGTACTAAATATTTTTTAAATAATAAAAATAAGTAAGATTATTCATGCAAATTATATTATTATTTTTATTGAAAAAAAATTTATTTTAAAAAAATCATGTTATCTAAATATTTTATTTAAACGATCCTTAGTCGGCAAGCGAAAAAAATTTTAAGTGCAATTTGAGCTTTTCATACTAGCACTAAATAAATATAATCGTTTGAAAACTGTGAAACCCAAAAATACCAAAAAAAGGGGTCGTTTAAAGCCTGGCACCTTACGGAATTTCCCGATATATGTCCCGCATTATTCCGAACAACCCGACAAAGCCGAAAACACGAAAATACAAAAAATGGCTATCTAAACTGGTCTTGATGCACTAAGTAAAAGTGTCAGAAATGCGATTTTACTATATATCTATTAACCTTCTAGCCTATGTATAACCCTAACTATATGTTGGAACCGGTTTTAATAATTCGGGTTTATCACATGAATTTTGTGATATTCGGATAAATTTCTAAAATTCACGGGATAAACTCGAATTATTAAAACCGGTTCCAACCTCTAACCCTTAGTATTAATTAAAAATCGGAAAACCGGAAGGTGCCAGGCTTTAAACGTCCCCCAAAAAAAGAAATATTTAAAGATCAATTACCAAAATTATAAAGAAACGTTTACTTTTGAGCGTTAAATATGTGGAATTAAAATATCGAATTTGGTTTGGGTATGTGCCGAGTTATCTTTGCTTTAAAGTTTACAGTAATTATTATTTTAATAGGCATTTTGAATTGTCCTAGAATCAAATTAAAAAAAAGCTGCCAAATTTGATTAGTTAGTTGCTGAGCTATTTTCGCTCAAAGTTATAAATTCATAGGTTTCGCAAGACGCCAAATACACTTGACCTTTAAGTATATTACGGCTGAAAATTTAAAAATTTTTCTTGGTTTAAACGTGTATAAATTTGATCCGAGTTCTTTTTTCTTAGAATTAGATTCAAAACAAACGTTCGTTCTGCCAAAAATTGCTCATAGCTCAAAAATCAGCATAAGAAATCACCTTTTGTGCTCTAACAAAAAGTATTCGTTGAGCAATTTTAACATATAAACATTTTCTCTAGAACCTGACTTTGACCTGACCTTATCCTTAACGAAATTTAAGAATTTAGTCTTTGTTGGTGACATGTCTATTAGGTAATAACCTTATACGTAGCTTATTACCAAATGAATAAAACTGATACATTTCACCGGTAAGGACTCTGAAAGTATTCGATTTCTTTTCAGTGTATTTATTAGAAATGCATTTATCGACGAAAACTTCGATTTATATCGGATTGAATGATTTAAGGTCTCTCATGTTCAATAAGATAAGACTCAAAAAACTTTTTTATTAAATGGGACTGACTGCTTTTATATGTCATGATTCTTATCAGGTAATGAATAATTCAACAATGGTTGTTGAGGGGGTACGCCAAACTATAATAAAACATAAACCACTCCAGTGGTTTATATGTTTTATTATAACAACTATACTCCTTTAACAGCCCTGAGGTTTACTTTTCTAGGAGCTATCAGACACTTTTAATCAAAAAGTTTATTAATTACAATCCGGATTTATTTTGGTGTTAAAAAAAATTATTTTTATTCATTTTTTTTATTTATTGTACACATATTCAGTATAACCATTAGGCCTACTGTAACAATATTATATTCAGCGGATACTGCAAAGTTGCTAAATCCTTCATAAATTCTTAATTTGAAAATAAATATAACAATATTTTAATAATTTATAGAATCGATTTAACAAATTTTATTGGTTTTGAATTTTACACTATTGAGAATGGACATATATTTGGATTTTGGTTATTATTCCAAATAAAGTAGAAGCCCCGATTCCAAACCCAAACTATGTATAAATGTCATGATTTAAAAAAAAGTTTGGGTAGCAACCCTACTATCATTCCTTTGACTCTCATCAGGTGATGAATCTTCGTCTCCAACATCGTTACTAAATAAATTTGTAGTCGTTGTATCTGTCGTTGAACTTTCAGAAGAAGCGATATTGGAATTTTCGTCTTGCGAGCTACCAGTCTGCTCCCTTTCATCTCTTTCCCTCCGCTCCCTTTCTTGTTCTAAAAGACTTAATCGAATTGCTTCCATAACCATTAGCTCTTCCAGATCGGTACCCATTCTCATAGCCGCCAGATACCCTCCATACTCGGCAGCTGCTGCAGGGGGAGGATTAGTACGTCTAGGCGGAGTAGTTGAAGAAGTCACGAAGGTAGTATTACTTCCACCTTGTGGGCGAACTACAATACGCCGTGTACTCGAAGATGTCGCAGGAGTTGGTCGTCTCGCACCAGGCGGTTGACGTAATGGTTGTTGAAGTACGCGAGCTGCCCAATCTGGTCGTATTTGATCTTTAATTTGACCAATTATGTAAAAAAGTAACAAATATTGTAAAATTATTTTTTATTATTTTTTTTTTGTCCTTTTTTTTATTGATTATTTTTTTTTAATTTTAAAATTAACGTCTGCCCTCAAGCGTGATGTTAGTAAAAACGCCAAAAATAGCAAATAATAATAAATCATAAATAAATAAAACTTTTCTGGCAATTAAAATATGGCTTCTTTTATTTAAAAAAAGTGATATCTTGAAACCAATCATCTGAATAACAATTGAATTATAAAACATTAAATTACCAGTGGTAACAACATCAGTGTCTTTATGGCTTATGCTTCTTCGCTGCGCTTTACCGTCTGGCACACTGGGCGAAGATGATGGTGATGTGGATGGTGGAATATTTGGATTTGGAATCGCAACAGGCTAAAAAAACGTTAAACATTTATTAAGCGTATAATAAGAAATTTCTACATGGTCAATTGAAAAAAAGTGGTGCATATATACCATGTTTTCACTGCCAATCCCAGCACTAAAAGGTGGAGGCTTATAGTAAACACCAAAATTTGGTTCTACACAGTAAGGACATACAGCAGAAGAATTGTTTGCTCCTAAAGAACCAGATTCTGGTCGTTTTATTTGAACGAAACATTCGGTACAAATCGGCTGATCACAGCATCGAGAATAATTGATGTTTCGTGGATAATACTAATAATATTATTTTAAGCAAATGTAAGAAAATTGAGAAAATTTCGAATATCATAGGAACAGACTTCGAAATGTAAGAATAAAATCTGCCCCATTCGTTGAATTCCGTAGTTTAATTGACAAAACTATCTTTCGTAATTCACGCGAGATCCTAATCAATTGTGCTTTCCAATGAACCGCATAAATGCATTTCAATAATTTTGTAATGGACTGATCTTTAATTTCGTTGACTGTCTTTTGCTCAACTGAGAAAAATATTTCTAACAATCACTCACCAAAAAGCAGATTGGACATTCAACAGCACCCTTATATAATTGAGATTCTAACGTTTTTACAGGAGATGTTTCTTTGCCTTTAGTTGCTCCTGTTACGTTTAATGTTGATGCTCGTTTTATTTCTCTACTTCCTTGTGATTGACATTCCCCACTAAATGTGGCATTTTTCTTACCCTCACCAGCTTTTGGAAGGTTATGAGTTGTTAGTGTAACCTCGTCCCAACTTTCGTCATAGTCTGATAACCCTTTATAAAAAGGAGCCAGCTTGCGTTCTATAATGAATTTGCGGACACTCCTATAGTCCCAATCTTGAGGTACTTTGTATACACCATTCGGGACTAATTGTCCTCCGTCCACAGTTTCTTCTCCCTTATCTTTACCGATCGTGTTTCCCATGCTAGTTTAATCCAGTCGGCCAAAAGGTGATAAGTATTATGAATATTCGAGTACCCGATCGTATTCCCCAAATCCGTTCAAGAACGGAATTAAGGTTAAAAGAAAGCGTAATGATATGATTCGTGCCAATGAAAAAAAAGGAATTCCTAAAACTGTGATTAGCAGGTTAAAAATATAGTTGTTACAGGCTAGTCTAGGTTTACACTATCCTGCCTTAAAGAGCACGGGGCTTTAGCCAAAAACAAAGTAAGGAAGAATGCCTCTGCTTTTGCAAATGAAATAATTTATTTTGGGCCTCCAACCCCACATAAAACCAAGATTGGCACCTTAAAATTTTTTTTTTTGTTCGAAAGGTTTTATGGATTCTGTTATTAACGTTAACTAGCTACTATATATGTAAGAAAGTTGATCACAGCACTCAAGGAGAATGATATCATTACTTTATGGCTCCTGTTCTACTTATCAGATTGAATCCGATAAGTCAGGCGGCTCTTTAGAACCCATGGAATCAAACACGTTCTGGACAGCAATGTAACGTTACACAGATCTGTTAGATAAATTAGATTCTAAAGTAACTTTTAGGTTAAACCGACAAGTCTTATCTCTTTTTTTTTTAAAGATAATTATTTATAATGGGTCATTTGATGATTTTAGCAACATGTTCTCTTAATCAATGGGCTTTGGACTTTGAAGGCAATTTAGAGCGTATTTTAGAGAGTATTCGCGTCGCTAAACAGAGAGGCGCGACGCTTCGCGTTGGACCAGAACTTGAAATAACGTATACGATAATTATTTATACCATTCTTTGATAATGTACGCATTATCTTACAAATTATATGCCATATTACATTAATAGTGGATACGGGTGTTTTGATCATTTCCTCGAAGGTTGATCATTTTATCTAAAATATTTATCATTTACGTAATTTATTACATTCATGTCAACAATAAATTTGTATTCGAACGGGTCATATAGGAGACACATATTTACATTCCTGGGAAATGTTAGGCAAAATTTTGGAATTTGAAGAAGCTAAAGATATGCTACTTGATATTGGAATGTAAGCCAATCTTGTCTTAACACGAAATGTATAGTATACAAATAACTTCCGCAAATATTACAATATTCTTCTTTATTAGGCCAGTGTCTCATAAAAATGTTAAATACAATTGTCGTGTTATAATCCATAATTGTAAAATATTACTGATTCGGCCAAAAATGTTTTTGGCTAACGATGGTAATTATCGTGAAATGAGATATTTCACTGCTTGGTCGCCAGCTCGTTACGTTGAGGATTATTATCTTCCAAGGATTATTAGGAATATTACAGGACAAGTAAGTTCTTTACTATTTATGTTACTTTTTTTTTTTTTTTTTGTAATCAGTATATCAAAAGACTGTAGTCCCTATTGGCGATGCGGTAGTCTCTACTATTGACACTTGTATTGGAGTGGAATTGTGTGAAGAGCTTTTTACACCTAATAGGTACGTTTTGTCTTCTGGACATTATTGGTATAAAGTTACATTTCTAATATCTGCATATAATAGTCCTCATATTAGCATGGGCTTGGATGGCGTAGAAATTATCACCAATAGTAGTGGTAGTCATCATGAATTACGTAAACTTTACAGGCGTATTGATTTAATTAAAGAAGCAACATTGAAGGTATATCAACGGAATTTACTGAAAGTTATTGATTGATGATGATAATCTAACTGGGTTACATTGCTCAAAAGAGTGGAGGAGTTTACCTCTATTCTAATCAACAAGGTTGTGATGGCGATCGGTTATATTACGATGGATGTGCATTGATTGCAATCAATGGTCAAATCATTGCTCAAGGATCACAATTTTCCCTTAAGGACGTGGTTTGTTACCTGATACACAAAATTATTGTGCATTTTGAATATAAATATTGATAATAAAATTATACTAAAACTAATAAATTATATTTTAAGGAAGTTATCACTGCGACCATTGATATAGAAGATGTTCGTTCACATCGTGGAATGAGCAGTAGAGGAATTCAGGCCGTTAATGCGAACTCATACCATCGTATTAAGGCATCTATTGCTTTGTCTTCTGAAAAAATCAATTTTAAACCACATTTTTCCCCAACAAAACCTATTACAGAGCATTATCATACGCCGGAACAAGAAATTGCGTAAGATCAATTTTAATATTCAATCAATGATAAGATTAGTATTAAAATTCGAACAATTTTTTAAGTTTTGGACCAGCTTGCTGGCTTTGGGATTATCTCCGCCGATCAAAGACTAGCGGTTATTTTTTGCCCCTTAGTGGAGGAGTGGATAGTTGCGCTACAGCAGTTATTGTGCATTCTATGTGCCGTCTTGTTGTTGAAGCTGCATCGAATGGAGGTAATTTTGATGATAAATTTCTCTAATTACTTTACAGTAGTTAAGTTTATTTTTTTAAATGATTATTAGATACTCAAGTCATTATGGATATGAGGAAGATTATCGGCGAAAAAGAAGATTCAGACTACATTCCGACAGACCCTAAAGAATTCGCAAAGTAACAAGTTAATGGCATTTAGCGAATATTTATAGAATTGTAATTTAAATAATTTATATTTTCTCTAGTCGTATTTTTCACACATGCTATATGGGCACAGTGAATTCAAGTAAGGAGACTCGAGAACGGGCAAAAAAACTTGCTAATAATATAGGCTGGTTCGTCAAAATTCCTACCTGTTTAAATTAGGATTCGAAATAATATGATACTAATACGATAGTTCTGGATTACTTACAGTTATCATATTGATATGAACATGGATAGCATTGTTTCATCCGTATGTACTGTATTTAATTTGGTTACAAATAAGGCACCACGATTTCGAATCGATGGTGGTACGGATGCAGAGAATTTGGCGCTTCAAAATGTACAGGTATGATTAGAATTTGATTTAATGCGCTGTATGTTCGACCATAGCGTGAAATTAGTCATAAATCAATTAATCTTTTTTAAGGCTCGATTAAGAATGGTGCTTTCTTATTTATTTGCACAACTTTTACCTTGGGTGAGGAACAAAACCGGATCATTACTTGTCCTTGGTAGTTCTAATGTAGATGAATGGTAATTATAGGTACCTATGAACTATTTCCGTTATAAAGACGCCCACTTTTGCCATTTTCAAGTTTGAATCTTGTTTATAAAAGGGGTTTAAATGCTATATCGACTTAGCTGTTTCCAAATGGGTCATTATTAACGGAAATGTCATATATGTTATACTAAACTAACAAATACATAAATTTTCTAAAAGTCTTCGAGGCTATCTAACAAAATACGACTGCTCAAGCGCGGATATAAACCCAATTGGCGCTATTAGCAAAAATGATTTGCGTAAATTTATCGATTACGCAAAAAACGAATTCGGAATTCCGATACTTGATGAGTAAATACTTATTTATGGCATTATTATCGTTATTAGAAAACTGCATACTATGTGAATCGCATTTGTAGGTTTCTTAAAGCAACACCGACAGCAGAACTTGAACCATTCACCCATGAATATATTCAATCCGATGAGGTACGATAAATATGAGTGCCCAAGGGAAAACCTGGAATTCTTGATGTTCGAAATTTTCACTTTCAGAAACGGGTTGATCGGATTCCTTATGAATGAATTATAATAATTCTAGAATAGATTCCATTTAATGAATCATGTGTCTTATAATCCCGTTCCTGTAAAATTGATTTCGGAAAACCAACAATTACAGGTTTTCACTTAGCGGCATTCATATAATGTAATGTTCATAATACTGCATAACAGAATCTTGAATGAGTGATTAAATATTTAAGGCTGATATGGGAATGACATATGATGAATTGTCTATCTTTGGTAAATTACGCAAGATCGAACGTTGTGGGCCATTTTCAATGTTTTCAAAACTTGTCCATGAGTGGGGAAGAGAACTAAGGCCTGAAGAGGTATTTAGATTTCAAAATAATGGACTAACATGATATTGTTGACTAATCACACATTATTAAAAAAAAAAAAAAAGATTGCATCAAAAGTCAAACGTTTCTTCTACTATTATTCTATAAATCGGCATAAAATGACTACACTTACACCTTCATACCATGCTGAAGCGTATAGTCCTGATGATAATAGATTCGATTTAAGGCCGTTTTTATACAACACAACTTGGAGTTGGCAATTTAAAAAGATTGATGCACTTTCTCACAATATGGAAAAATAATAATTGAAATCAATTATGATTTATACTAGTTCGCCAACCTAGGCTCAAGTTTATGCTACCATGAATTTTGGGGGTTTTTTTCTTTGAGAAGTCACTTTTTTTTTTAGAAAGCCATATAGAAGCGTTTATTTAATTCATTGAAATTAATATTATCACGTAGATATTATAAGTTTGTCTTACTAACACTACACGAAATATTTGAATGTCCATGTAATCCAACCCCCTCTTCTTTCACCATGTACAATTAAACTTTTCAAGAACAGCTGATGCGTCTTGTACATCTTTTTGAGCCTTTTTTCTCATATACCTAAAGACAATTTAATTAAATTGCAACGTTTATAAAATAAGCACGTTAAAATCAAATAATCAACAAAGTATATACCAGATCGGACAATCTCTAGAACTACATAGAACATCTTGATGCAAACTTCCTTGACACCTTTGGCATTGAGTCCATAATCGGGCGAAACGGGTTTCGAACTCATTAACAGTACCCAGCTAGTCATAGTAATGATTATAAATATATACTTGAGAACAAACATTAACATTTAAAATTAAAATATATTCATACCTGTTTCTGGTATAGTTCACCCAACTTTGGCTTGCAATGACGACATACCACCGAACCTGCTACAATCAAGATCAAAAATGGATTTACAAAATAGTCACGTTCGTCTTGCAATTTAAAATTATAAATATACCATCTTTTGTTAAAGGAACTTTACAACCCAAACATGTTGGGACAATGACTGCAAATTTCATTAAGCCGCCAATTGTTGGTGTTGTATGTTGAACGACGCGTGTGTGATCGCCAGATACTTAAATATATAGAAAAAATAAATTAAAAGTTAATAAATTATAAGTTAATACTACTCTTAGTAGGTTATAATTAATAAAACTCACGTAAAGATTCTGCTTTGTCACCTAAAATAGGTTCGAAAATTCGTAATAATGGTTTGGATAGCTGGTTTTCCAAGTAATAACTGGTGTCAATTGGTATATTATTTTCTAATACATATATTGGATCTTCCGACTTTTCGTAAGCGGCTGCACCTATATAGTTTTATTAGCTATTATTTAGAACACGAAAAATAAATGTCGTTGCTGATGCTGAAATCCATCCAGAATTATAAAGTTCACATAAATAATTTAGCCAAAATTACAATATAATAAAAATTTTTGCACTGTAATGTTACATTTGAATTTAGTAACATATTTGCCGTTTACAAATTACTGCAATAGCTATTGTGTATTTCAGCATCAGCCCAACAATGGAAATAATTACGATGAATATCATAGAAAAATTTACCTTTAGTGCCCTTTATAATAACGTAAGCCACGCGATCACCTAGCGTCGGTGCAGAACCTTTATTTTATCAACATAAAAAAATAATTAATTTTACGATCAGAGATTAGCACGATTAGTACATTAAAATATTGTATACCAGGGTCACGTTTGCGCATACGTTCAGCTAATTCTACATGCGGTTGTTTAGCAGAATAATCTAAATTAAAAAATTAAAATTAGCACAAATCCTGATTTATTTTTACACGTAAAAATTAAATACATTAAACATGTTACCTGATTTACTTAAGGCTTTAGTTATTACAAGTTGTGACATATCAATTTTGTTTTGTAGCAAATCTGAGATGGTTTTCTTAGCGTATCTACATGGTAATGAGTAAAGCTTGTATAGCAAAATTCACCTGACATAATTCTAAAAGAAATTACATACGCAACGGCCCCAGAAACGTCACGATCAATCAACACCTTTCTTAAGCACGTTTCGATGACATTCTGAACAAGTAGACAGTTATCACGTCTAACTGTCTATTATAAAATTAGCATCCAATTACATTTGTAATAAATTAACATATTGTCCTGAAAAAAAAAAACTACCTCAATGCCTTTGGTGTCTAATTTATCCCACTTTTTGGGATTTGTCCAATATAAACCAGCATATCGTTTTTTGTTGATTAACAAATATGGAAAATATACTTTTTCAAATTCTAGCTTTATTGGCCTTAAAAATTTCCCTGTGACATATTCAGCTGCCTCTTGACCTGAGTTATTTGTTATTTTTCTGTTAAGTTTAGACTTGGTACAAGATGATTATATTCAAATAAAATTACCTAGTTTCATAGTATCATCTAAATTGTCCACACCAAATTTAACCATAACAGAATCAGTATCACCATAAATAACTTGAGCATCATGTGTATAGCCGTTCTCAATAGTAAATCGACTTTCTACTTCCTGTGCTTATCACAATAGCATCAATAGTATAGTAAATGTTTCAATATAATTAATGTTTACGATGTGTAGACAATACAAACCCGCTTGGTCTGCTCAATCATTTGACGCCCGTACGCTGTGACACTTGCTGAAATTTCAAGGCAAGGCATTTGACCTGCTGATGCGCCAGTAAAGCCGTAAACTGAGTTCGCACTCACCTAGAGAAATCCAAAATGCTTAGTGGCCTATCAATCATATATAAAAATATTTGTAATGATAACCAAATACCTTTAAAGCTAATTGACGCCCGTCTAAGACCGCTCTTTTGAAGGGATCCGTCTCATTTTTGAGATCAGCTTTTGCTTTTTTACGTGCTGAAAGTAAATCTTCAAGAATTGTGGGTAAAAGTCCTTTTCGAACCTCTGCTTTTACAAATCGTGCTATAAATAACAGAATTCCTATAGTATTAAATTAAAGAATACTTGTGATGATCTGATTACGAATGGTAAATGTCACCTGACTGATATGGCGTAACTATATAGTCACTATCATTCTTTAAACCTAAATTATCTATTTCCCTTTGATCTACCATTGTCGAATAACAAAGATTATGTGCCATCATTATTGATGGATACAGAGAACTAAAATCAAGTGTTGCAATTGGAACATTATAAAATCCTTTCTCTGGATCAATCACAGTTGCCCCTTCAAATGGTTCATCCGTTCCTACAAATCAATGGTTTGATTAATGAAATTCTAAATACTATTTCTATGTGTATATGACCAAAAAAAAAAGATATACCATCTACGTTTTTCCGTGCAGGTATAACAAAGTCTTGTTCAATTGCCTTTCTGTACAATTGCGAAATAACTTTAATTTGCTGACCACGGGATAAAAGGTAACTAAAAGGTACACCGGTTACGCGAGCCATTTCCAAGTAATTAATCAGGCACATGAGTTTATCCATAAGTCTTTGAGGCAGATAGGCATCCTAAACAATAAATAAATATATGCCCAATTGTTTATTAATATAATAAGGAAATTAACATGATAAATTATGAGAATGAACCTTTAAACAATAAATTGCTAAACGACGTCGTGACTCTGGATTCCCATTGTGCAAATCTGTGATGATAGAATGATGGACATCTTCTTTTTGTTCACCTATTCAAAAATTCCAACATTAATTACTGTATATAACTAGGAACCTAACTAATTAAGTTATATTCACCTAAAAAATGAGCACAGACAGAATTAAGGGTATATGATCTAAGCTTGTGGTCACGTTGCATAACCTGCAACATATCAAATTGAATTCTTCCGTCAATATGTAATGTTGGTCAAGAACATAATATTATTCATGTGATTGTGAATAACAAGAACTGTTCAATAAAAGGATATTGGTTATTTTGTTCTCTCTAGTTCCATATGCTTTTGAAGAAAATCTGGCATCCCTGACATCAACCCTAGTACCTTTAATAAATCACAAAGATAATGAATATTTGATTCATTTTAAGATAGCATAACTAAAGATATTTGTGAAATTAATTTCACCACTAGCGGTGAAATTATTTCGCCGTTCCACTCTAATCTTTTAAGCATAACTATGTAATCACCCTTAATACGACCAAAATACGGAAATCTTGTAACTTTCAAATGATAAGCTCTGTCAATTAGATATGGTAAGTCAAAATTCGCGATATTATATCCAATTATAACATCAGGATCTGCCTATTATATGTAACGTTAGAAATTATTATAATAATAATGGCTCGATAAAATGACGTAAATCTCATACCTCAACGACAAAATCGCACCATGCCTGTAGCATATTACCTTCATTATAATATTCTAAAACGTCCGTCGCAACAATTGGCGAACATGAATTTAACGTAAAGACGTTTTTAATGATGGGGCTCTTTTCACCTAAATATTATTGAATATACTAATAAGAAAAGAGTAATAACACTCCATGCATTAAAAAATTATCCTATTATTCAACCTTGAATTGTGACCATGTTGGCAATTTGAATTACTGGATCTTGTGCCGCTTCAGGAAATATTCCTTTGCGTCCAGCACATTCGATGTCAAAACTCAAAATGCGTAATGGCGCAATCTTTAACCAATCTCCTTCGGGAGGATGACTAATTAACTGATCATATCTATTATTTGTAAAAAATATATATATATAAATAACGAGGAACGGATAAAACTCCTAATGCTAAATTAAATAATAATACCTTGTAATAATTTCTAGCTGACAATGTGAATATTTTTCAAATTCTGCACAAAAACGATAAGTCTTTGGTGGCAACTCAATCCAATTAGCCCCAGTTACCTTGATAAGTAATTTGTAAAATTTTGAAATTAGTATAGATTTCAATATTATTATACATTAAAATTGAATACTGACCTTGCAATCGATCATGAACCGCAAAACATATTTAATATTGCTTTCAAATGTTATTGCTCCGACTTCTCTACCTTTAAAAGTAAAATTCCCATCTTCAATTATACGCCTAGCGACATTTAACGTTTTTGTATCGACAAAAGAAAGTTTGAGGAACGGGCACTTTTGCTTTCCATGAAATCCTTGTATAGTTTCTTTAAATTTAACTTCAACCCTATTCAATAATTCTCGTCCTCCTGAAGAAGCTTCTTGCTGAAGAATTAACTTAAAAATAATGATGTATTAACAATTCAAGGTCACTGAATGCAATTACATTTAAATGCTCGATAATTACTTCAAGATTAGACTTAAATTCAGCGACATCACCACTTTTAAATCCATTCGGGGCAGGGATATAAAAATAAGGTAGGAATCCCTTTACGTAACATAAAACACTGTTCCCTGCCTGATCATTTGAAAAAATAAGTTATTAAAGTATTTGATTAATCAATGCAGTCATAATCTTAAAATACCTCTGTCAAGCCAAACATACGAATCATCGGTGATCTAGATGCAGAATGAGGATCAATGCATTCATCGATCTCGAACTGTTGAAATACTGTAAAATTTTTAATAATCTTTAGATATACAATTTACAAGGTCATTCTCGTTACAGTGAACTCTCGATATAGTGGGTTAAGCTTAAAATAAACTATAGGGAATTCTTTTGACAGTAAATTTACTAATAAAATCCTCGACATAATAAATTTTTAACCAGCAAAACTACTTATTTCGCTACAACGGGATGACATATATTCACGTACTTATTGAGTGCTCTTCTGGATTTATGTACGGAATACTTGGTCGAGCCCAGATTTGGGTCCTTCCCGTTGATTCTTGAGCTTCCATATTTTTCCAATATTATACAATATTATGTGAAATACTCGCGACTTTTCAAGCGAGCGTTTGTTTTGATGGTCGTGTAGAGTAACTTTTTCGTGATTGGCTGATTAAATATTCCCTGTGATTGGTCGTACAGGGTTAGCAAACAATCCCGAGCTACCGGCCAAAAAAATATGGGTCGTAGTAGTCGTAGTATCTCAAAAATTTCCCTATATGTTTAACATTAAAAATTGTGTTCTATAAATAAACTTTCATTCTAAAAACTTTTACTTAGAGGTCGGAAATTAGTTATCATAGTAAATTTTTGGGCTATTTACGTTTTTTTAATTTCTTATGTGTTTCGCGTTTGTTTTGATCTTCAGTTCGGCATAAGGGTAACAGGAAAACATCCATGTTATGTTCATAGGCAGAAATTCGTCTGATTGGCTAATGTAGATCAATTGAAGGGGTAACTTATTTATATGCTTTAGAGTACTTTTCAAGAACTCAAGTGTTACAGACTTACACAGCAAAAATTTTTGCATATATTGCTTCTTTAGAGTGTCAAAAGACTGTCATTAAAAATAATCTCTAATAATCTCTAATTTAAGTAGTGTTAGCTTAGTAGCAACTTTTTAACATAGATATAAAAAAGAAACTCCAAGGACTGTGCATTATCAAGATCTGTAAGGGAAAGTCTAGCACTTTCCGAACTGTTACTGAACTAGTTTTGTCTTAGAGAACTAAGAACAAGACTTTACCTGATTACGTTAAAGAATATAACATTATTTGCTTTGCTTGTTACAATGCAATTATTATTAACGCATCTTCTGAATTTCAGAAGCATGCATTAGTTTTTCATTCTAATATTGAGACAGAAATCTCTAATTAATCTACTTTTTTGTTTTTTTCACAGGCCATAGAGCTGATTACAAATGTTTTTTATGAGAGAGAACGTAATTCGTTGCCTACAATTTGGGATTTTGAAGAATTTCGTATACTTATAGAATCAAAAGATGAACAAATGGTGCCTTTGTTTGACAAATTATTGCTGTCAGCTAATCCAGAAACAAAAATCAAAAATACAATGGATAAAGTATCAAAACAATTATTATTTTTATGTTATTTTATTTGTAGTATTAGAAACAAATTTGTTAACAATGCAAAAAAAGACTTAGGAATGTTTTTAGATTCTACTGAGACACTTGATTTAACAATCGACACTCTTGTTGCATTAGACATAACAATAACATCGTGTTCAATTGCCTATTACAAGGATTCTGTGTCTAAAAATTATTTAGAAACTGTAGAGTCAAATCTTGTAAATAGTACTAACAATGTTTTAATTTTAAATATAGATGATTATTACAGCATCCACACTAAAATGATGCCTAATACAACCACAACATCAACTGCGGAACATCTTGTCACCATTTTGCTTAACCCAATCAAGAATCGACTACCAATACCAAGACAAGACATTCATAATCCCGTGTTGGTTGATGCCTTGTTAATAAAAACTGAAATCAATAATCATTTTATGTTAGCATATTCACTTTCTCATAACTGATGTTAGGGATTTCATTTCGTGACTGATGAAAAAAAGCTTGAAGAGTTGACTGTTCATAGTTACGATGTTTGTTTAAAAGAAAAAAGAAGCACAAGATCGATTAAAGATGCTATACTTGTAGATCTTGTAAAGTCTAGTCTTCATTCTATTGAAGAGTATATTAAGGCTATTAATATTGCTATGTCTACTTCAACAATTAATAGACATATTGAAGAAGGCAACATTATTCCAATCATCACTGACTGACTAGGTCAAATATTTTTAAGAACAGCTATTTCATGTTATCTTGTTCATGATAGCTCTTCTGAAATTATTAATAATATTTTATCATTTCTTCTAATGTTAGGTCCTCTGCATATTTCTTTGAATAGCTGTGAATTAGTATTTCTGCAATATCGGCCATTTTTCTTTGAAATGTATAAGTACATTTTTGGGAAAAAAAAAAGCTTGCTAAAAAGCCAAAGCCATAGCGCATAAATTTATTATTGGAACTTTTGCATAGCATATGGCAAGAAACTGCAAAAATAGTTGAAATAAAATTTGGCCATGCGTGTAAGAATGCAGAGTACATAACGCTTAAGGACCTGTTGGATAACACAGTTCTATTAGTTCTTGATATTTATGCTTCATTTTTTTGTTCTGGTGATTTTAACTCATATATTGAATCTTGTTTTCGAGTTTGGGTACTTTTTTTTAGGTTCTATCGTAAGAATTACACCAAGGTGCCTTTAATGTTTCTCTTGAATATTTTTTATTAGAATTCAAAAAATCATCCGATTCTAGAAACAATAAGCTCAGAGTTGCTAAAATTTACTGATACTCCTGTTGAAATCTTTTATAGTCTTCTATATCGCAATATAAAAAAATATCTTACATTAGAACAAATCATATGAAAGGCATGGCAGATTAACTATTTGCAGTTTAACAATGATGAATTTAAAGAAAATTTCATGAACTCTTCATCCTGAGCAGTTTACCCATATTCTTCTCGAAATATTGAAGCTTCGACTCAGAAAACAGCATGTTTTTTATTAGACTGTTTTTCTGATATTTATATTCGTATTAAATGTAAAAAAATTGCTTTTTTAATTCCACCACAGGTTGCTAAAAAATGTCCATCAAAAAGAAGTAAGAAAGAAGAAAATACCAATGCAGATAACAGTATTCTTATTCCAGCAATAAAGATGGAAGAAGTGTAGCTTTGTCATCTACCTCTAGGATATAGTTCCTCATATAAACCTTGTTTGTCTGGTTGTGATTTTTCTAATTGTTCAATTACTAACCCGATTACTGAAGAAACAGAGTGAGTATTACCATATGGTCATACGTATCATGACATATGTTTTAGATGAAATGAACCTAAGTGCTTGCATTGCTTAGATTACATTAAGAGTGGCATTGATATACATGTTCGATCACTTTTGGGCAGCTTGAGTTATCTTAATTCAGGTAATGTGGTTGAAAGTGATGATTCTACTCCTGATGAAGATGACGATGATGATACAAAAGAATCTGCAGATGGTATTTCAGCTCCTTGAGATGATATGATATGGCAGTTTCTTCTATTATAATTATTAGTTTTTTTTTTATTAATATATATATGTAATATTTATTAATTTAATAATAAAGTTTATTAAATAAAAAAAATTATTATATGCGAGTAAAAATTTTTGATGGAATTGTGTTTACTATAAATATTAAGCGACTTTATGATTAGTTTTACAAGCAATTTATAGCTAAGAAAAATCAATTGACAAAATGCATAATGAATAAATAGTTTCATAAGTGATTCATAAGCAATTTATAACAGGCAAGCGATTGACTAATCAAATACAATAGTATGATTCAATTTACTGATGATCATGCAATATATCATATAAATCATTTAAATGATTTAATAATATTATCATCGAATTTATAATAGTTACCAAATCAAAAAATTCTGCTCATATGTATATAATCACGTTTTAATTGTTACTAATATTAAGAATGTTAATAATTATGAAATCAACCAATTAAATTGCAATAATTAAAAAAATGATCTACAGATGATTTACTAAAATTGGCCAATCAGGTAAATTTCTGCCTATGAATGTTATGTAGGGCTGTTAAAGACCGATCTTATCCTTCTGGATTCTCCAAATAGGGACTTCAATCCTTAAGTTGATCTTTGAGGGGTACCCTTATGTCCAGAAAATCCTAAGCTAGAGATCACTTTCGACCATATCCAGATTCAATAAAATTACAGAATCTTGTGTAACAAAACAAACATGAAAAACATAAGAAATTGTAAAAAAATGTAAATAACCCAAAAATTTACTATGATAACTAACTTCTAACCTCTAAGTAAAAGTTTTCAGAATGAAATTTTACTTATAAAATACAATTGTTAATGTTAGATATATAGTGAATTTTTGAGATACTACGACCTATATTCTTTTGGCCAGTAGCTCAGAATTTTTTGAACATAAGGATATTCATTTTTGAGTCATGATAAACATGATAATCTCTATTAGGGGTCTTCAAATTGCCTATTTTTGTGGTCTGGTCTGCATATATATAAATTTTTTCTTTAGGCTAGTCTAACCCAACCTAGCACACAAAATTCATTATTAAATTTTGAAAATTTTTAGGCTTATTTAGGTTTGCAGTTGTAAAATATTGCTTTAAATTTGACTCAGTTTGCAAAAATTTGTGGGCAATACAGGTTTTTAATTTTTAATTTTTTTTTTTAATGTTAAAGTCTCTATCTTTGGAATGTGACCAGTGTTAGAAATTTGAGATTAAATTAGTGTTCTTATGTTTTATTTAGTATTTTTAAAGTCAATTTTTAAATGTTCTCTAATATAAAAAATTAATTTTCAGCTGTTTTCATTTACAAATTTGTGTTTTCATAAGACTTTTAAGAATATTAATTTTAAACATTAAATGTGACATTTTATTCAAGTATATAGGTTACTTTATATTGGAGATTACAACTAGTTATATATGCATTTTTGGTATCTAATTTAAGTAGTTCACTTATACATTACTATATAAGTTTTACACTTGATGTTATATCTGCAAGTCAATTAGAGGTTTTGCTTATTTAAACTCTCTGCATATACAATCCTTCTTGTATTATAAGAAAATTTCAAGGTTACACCTATTCAAGTTCCTGATGCTAGTCTATACTCTTAGAACTATTTTATCTTTAATAGAAAACTTATTAAAGTCTTTATATCTTATATATATTGATCTAGTTTTATGTAACATATTATAGTTATTTAACACTTGCAATTATAAGGATTACTTGTTTAACTGTTATATTATACTATTTTTATTCTTGTAAAGTTTACTAAAATCTTATTATTTATCTTTTTGGCATTTTCTTTATTATTCTTTATTAGCTATAACTTAAAATCATTAGTCTTATTCTAAACTATCAATTCAGATAGCTTGGTATGATATATTTCTG